TGTATCTTACCAGCCCTGTGGGCTTGTTGGTTGTTTCAGTTACATTTGATACATGTGCATGTTGTTATATATAACTGAATAATGTTTATGAGTGGTTGAGACACATATTGAAGCGAACCGGTAAAACCTCTACCCGGCATAGGGAAGTCAGTAGAATGATCACATATGATAATTTTTGAAGATAATTAACTAAATACAATACATTAACACATACTGCAGTATGTCTAAATATAGCGTTTGACATTTCTTTTTGTCTTCATCATATTAGAAATGGACACAACCATTTCAGATGAAAAAACCCTTTAAAACAAGGTTTTAGATAGATAAACTTTTCGCCAGAAGTATATATGGATTATATTGTCCACAATCAATTGTCAGTTTCCTACCGCGAGGAGATGTTTTAAGCGTCTTGTCAAACAAGAAATATCCGAACTTGTTGAATGTAAAAGAAAGGAAATGCATCATGAAAAGCACCTTAAACATGTTTCTATGGTCTCTTGTGTTATCAAGACATAAGAATATGAACATACCTGAGGAGACTTAAGCTTCCAAATGACTCTCTGTACTGGATAGATTCCAACTGTGACACGGTTGCTTACAGATTTGTTCAGGGCAAAGTTGTCGCCGTGGAGTTGTCTGTAGTTTGTGACTGTTAAACGGTCGAAGTTCCATTTTTAACATTTGTTCGAACTGATTACACCAATGGCATTCTGAGCTTTTAGAGCTTATGCTTTCAATCCAGTGAAAACACAACACAAGCCTGACCTTTCATTGCTCTCATTGTCCCACCTGTCATAGCGAGGTTCACATGTCTGTACAGTACAACTAATGTTGTTATAGAAATTAGAATGGGACAGGTTGTAACTCTAATAGACTTAGTGATGTTTTCATATCAATCAAGGATCAGTATAGGCACACTTTAACTGGGTAGAGACAGATTAAGCCCGATTATCAACATTTCCTGATTAACAACTTTGTGTTGAAAACAGCATTGTTCTGTGTTTACAATGTGTTCCCGCGCCACCAGCTGTGGAAATTGGTCGTTATGAAACTTTGCATACATGTCGGCTAAATTACTCTCGAGATACCACGGACAGTAGAGCTCATAAACACGTGGTTGCCATAAGTAAATGTGTTAATTATTGACATATGACATATAAGATCATAGCATGATATTGAAATATATACATGTATATATATATACATGTATATATATATATATATATATATATGTAGAGAAATTCTCATATATATATATATGTGTGTGTGTGTATTATTGCAATGTGTATATGTTATTGTGAGCACTGTTGTAATTTGTTTTACCAGTTGGTAATGGAACATGTTTTGAATTCTTATAATTATGACACACACTACATATGTACATGGCCAACTTACGAGATATATTCAGAACTGATACATTCTTACTTTCCCCATCAAGTGCAGTTGTCAAGAACTAAATCTAACTATGGCCTGTGGTGAAGACTCTCGCCGGGATGCCAGAGTAATGACTTTTGGTCCAAAAGCTAGAACCACATGTGTTGTTATCTATATTGAAGGGCATTAAAATGTCCGAAGATAGAATCATAAGTCTATGCTTTGCCAATGATAACATGCCTTATTTTGATTTGGTTTACATGAGTGTGCATGAGCTTCCAACTAAACCATGGCTTTCAGGCAGACATGCCACCTGTCTCCCTCCCTATCCTAATACCCTTTCCTTTCTCTCTTCCCTTTCCTTTACCGCTCTCCCTCCCTCTCTTGCCCTTTCCTTTCTCTCTTCCTTTCCTTTACCGCTCTCCCTCCCTCTCTCGCCCTTTTCCTTCTCTCTTCCTTTCCCTTACCTGTCTCCCTCACTCTCTTGCCCTTTCCTTTCTCTCTTCCTTTCCTTTACCTGTCTCCTTCCCTCTCTTGCCCTTTCCTTTCTCTCTTCCTTCCCTTCCCTCACTTTCTCCCTTCTCTCTCTTCCTTTCCTTACCTGTCTCCTCCTCTCTTGCCCTTTCCTTTCTCTCTTCCTTTCCACCTGTCTCCTTCCTCTCTTGCCTTCCTTTCTCTCTTCCTTTCCTTCCTCCCTCCTTCCACTTCTCTTCCTTTTCCTTTCTTCCTTCCATCAGTCCTCCCTCTCTTGCCATTTCCTTTCCTCTTCCTTTCCTTACCTGTCTCCTTCCTCTTTTCCTTTCCTTCTCTTCCTTTCCTTTCATTCCATTCCTCCTCTTCCTTTCCTCCTTATTTTCCTTTCTCTTCCATTCCTTTCCTTTACCTGTCTCTCCTCTCTTCCCTTTCTTTCTCTTTCCTTTCTTCCTTACCTGTCTCCCTCCCTCTTTCCTTCCCCTTTCCTTTCTCTCTTCCCTTTCCTCTCTCCCTCCTTCTTCCTTCCTTTTCCTTCCTCTCTTCCTTTCCTTCCCTTCCTTCCTTCCTTCTCTCTTGCCTTTCCTCCTCTTCCTTTCTTTTTCCTGTCTCCTTCCTCTCTTGCCCTTTCCTTCCTCTCTTCCTTGCCTGTCTCCCTCCTCCCTCTCTTGCCTTTCCTTCCTCCTTCCTTCCATTTCCTCCATTCCTCCTTCCTTCCTTCCTTCCTTTTCCTTTCCTTCCTTCCTTTCCTTTGCCTTCCTTCCTCCTTCCTTCCTTTCTTTCCTTTCCTTCCATTCCTTCCTTCCTCCTTCCTCCTTCCTTTCCTTCCCTTCCTTCCTCCTTCCTTTCCTCCTTCCTTCCTTCCTCCTTCCTTCCACTTTCCTTCCTTCCTTTCCTTCCTTCTTTTCCTTCCTCCTCCTTCCTTTTCCTTCCTCTTCCTTCCCTCCTTCCTTTCCTTCCTTCCTCCTTTCTCCATTTCCTTCCTCCTTCCTCTTTCCTTCCTCCATTCTTCCTTCCTTCCTTCCTTTCCTTTTCCATCTTTCTTCCTTCCTTCCTTCCTCCCTTCCTCCCTTCCTTCCTCCTTCCTTCCTTATTCTTTCCTCCCTCCCTCCTTTCCTTTCCTTTTTCCTCCCTTCCTCCTTCCTTCCTTCCTTCCTTCCTTCCTTTTTCCTTCCTTCCTTTCCTTCCTTCCTTCCTTTCTTTCCTTCCTTCCTTCCTTCCTTTCCTTCCTTCCTTCCTCCTTTCCACCTCTCTCCTTCCTTCCTTCTCTCCTCCTTTCCTTCCTTCCTTCTTCCTTTCCTTCCTTCCTTCCTTTCCCTTCCTCTTCCTTCCTCCTTTCCTTTCTCTCCTTCCTTTCCTTCCTCCTCTCTCCTTCCTCTCCTCTTGCCCTTTCCTTTCTCTCTTCCTTTCCTTTCCTTCTCCTCCCTCCTTCCCTTCCTTTCCTCTCTTCCTTTCCTTCCTCCTCCCTCCTCCTCCTTCCTTTCCTTTTCCTTCCTTCTCTCCTTTCCTTTCCTCCTTCCTCCTCTTCCTTTCCTCCTTTCTTCCTTCCTTTCCTCCTTTCCTCTTCTTTCCTCCCTCTCTTCCTTCCTTTCCTTTCTCTCCTTCCTTTCCTTTCCTCCATCTCCCTCCCTCTCTTCCTTTCCTCTCCTTTCTTTCCTTCCTCTCTTTCCTTTCCCTCTCCTTGCTCTTTCCTTTCTCTCTTCCTTTCCTTTACCTCTCTCCCTCCCTCTCCCTTTTCCTTCTCTTTCCTTCCTTACCTGTTCCCTCCCTCTCTTGCCCTTTTCCTTTCCTCTTCCTTTCCTTTTCCTTCCTCCCTCCCTCCTCCCTCCTTCCTTCCTTCCTTCTTCTTTCCTTCCCTTGTCCTCCTTCCTCTCTTCCTTCTTTCCTCCTCTCTCTCTTCCCTTCCCTTCCTGTCTCCTCCCTCTCTTGCCCCTATTCCTTCTTCTCTTACTTTCCTTACCTGTCTCCCTCCCTCTCTTGCTTTATTCCTTCTCTCTTCCTTTCCTTTACTCTCTTCCTCTCCCTCCCTTTCTTGCCCTTTCCTTTCTCTCTTCCTTTCCCTTACCTGTCTCCCCTTCAATATCCCTTCCCTCTCCCCCTTCCCTTTCTCCCTCACCCAAGCTGTAACAAATATCTGCATGTCTCCCTTCACACAGTGGTCATACATTACATAATGAGGTATACAGTCTGCTAATCAACTGAATATCATAGCAAACATCATTAGACAAGTAGTACTTGCTATTCAACAACAATACTTGCTATCCAACAACAACAACAAAATGAACAGCAAGACATAGAGAAACCATCGAGGTAGTCTACACAAGTTTCATCAGTGTTTGATGAATCAAGTTTTAACACATCAAGTTTCATTCAAGATGAAGATAATATTTAATCATCATTCAACAAAGATTTTTCACAAGATAATCGTTCCATTTAGGAAGACCATAAACTACTAGTGTGGACTGCAGATGATTCTCCCATGTCTTCACCTTCAAGGGATTCATCTTTTGCTATGTTCTGAATCAAAGGTGAAGATATCAAGACGCTGACTTTACCTCCGATGAAGCAGATTTCTCAGATTGAGAAAAATCTTGTAGCATCTTTCGTGAAGACCTAAAGTATGCTGGTTATGCCTACACCTTTGAAACCAAAGAAGTTCCCATTGCACAACATGGAGGCTTTCTGCCAAGCACCAGAGATGCAGACTGCTCACTCATGGGTGACTTACAGGGTAGAACATAAGAAGTTAACACAACCAGATACTACTTCCAGAAGATCATTCTTTGGACTGGCCATGTCTTGTGCTATTAACGCTGATGAATCCTCAATTGAACAAGGGAAAGAGAGTTTCTTTCAGCGATGGTTACACAAAAGAGGAACCAAGAGTTCATATCAGGTCACATTAGTTCTGCTTATGCAGGGCTTACTTTGCTACGAAGACAAGGATTACTTTCGAATTCTCTGTGGTCAGACCTCTAAACGAAGTCTTCACTGATGGAAGCCCACCATCTTGGATGGTTGTATTTGTTGTGTGAATAAAGGTGGTTCAAGCTTCTAAGGATGAAGTGCTGATTAAGTCAGTACAAACGATGAACTCCATGTGCAGACAGTCAATGCAGAGAACTCAGTGTAGAAGTTGTTTTTCTGGTATTCAGAAAGCTAAGGCCAGAAGATTCACACTGACCAAGGGGAAAAGGACCTCCAATTTTCGCAAGTCCCAGGAAAAGTCAAGGGATCAATGTGACAAAGGTAGGGGCACAAAGGTTCTGGTGGAACCACCCTTAACAGTAGGTCCTCCAAGGATAGTTTATTCACTACTTTCTTCTAGCAAAGTGGACAGAAGCTATAGACTCACTTTTACTCAAGGAAGTGGTAGAGATCATTCAACCAGAAGACTTAACTCTGTTGGTTTTATCATCCAATCTTCCTGGTCCCACAGAAGATTTCAGGCAAGAAATTCCTACTAATCTATCACCTGAAATATCTTCAACAAACAGAGAAGTACAAGATGCTATATTTTCTAAAGTTAAGGCAACTGATAAGGCCAAATGACTTTCTTGCAAGCATAGATCTTCACGATGCGTATTTCTACACATCCCCATTAATCAAGGGTCCAGGAAGTTTCTGTGCTTCATGTACCAAGGTCAGCATTACCAATGGAAGGTACTTGGTTGGTTGTTTACTCAGGTAACCAAGCCCATAGTATCTTATGTTTATAAGAAGGGGATCTGTTGTGCCTTCTACCTAGACAAAGGATTCAGGTTAATAATAATAATAATAATAATAATAATTGGCGCCTAGTTTCCATCACAGATGCTCAACGGCGCTGCATACATCGTTACAAACACAGTAAGTGTGAAAAGAGTTCTATTCAGAAGCCATCTTGAAGAAGTAGGTTTTGAGCAAGTTCTTGAAAAGTGACTGGGACTCAGTTCGTCTGAGGGTGACTGGAAGATTGTTCCATAGAGCTGGTGCTGCTACAGAAAAGGCTCTATCACCCATGGAGGTTTTAGTGCTTGGCTGTGTTAGTCTTAACGTATCTATTGATCTAAGAGCTCTGGTGGGAACATGCAGATGTATCTTGAAGTGGATCCTGTACTTTACTGGAAGCCAGTGATGGGATTTCAGAACTGGCGATATATGGTCATGGCGATGGGTTCGAGAGACCACACGAGCTGCTGCGTTTTGAATTTTCTGCAAATTGTTGAAGATGCCGTGTTGCAAAAGAGCGATTTGCAATAGTCCAGCTTTGAGATTACAAGTGTTTGCATTAGGAGCTTTGTTGTCTCAATATCTAGGAAGTTGCGGATCTTGCCGATGTTGTAGATGTGAAAGAAACATGACTTGCAGAGGGACTTGACATATTCATCTGGGGACATGTTGGACTGGAAGATGATTCCCAGATTTCTGGCTGAGTTTGAGGTCTTCACATCCTCAGTTCGTATCTTGAGTGTGATTCCAGGTGGCATCTTCTGCAGTTGTTGCCGTGAGCCTATGGCAAGGAAGTCAGTCTTGCTGTCGTTCAACTTCAAATAGTTGACAGCCATCCATTCCCGGATATCCATAATGCAGCGTTCGATCTTATGAACTCCTTGTGAAACTTCTGATGGTTTGATGGAAATATACAACTGATTATCGTTCATTAACTAACACAGAAACTCAAACATCAGTTGAACTTCACTCTACAGTTGTTAGCCCAACTAAACTATCTTTTACCTTCACAAGATCTCAAGTTTCTAGAAATCGGATTCCTCATGAATGAAAACCTCATCAAATTACCAGGAGATCGGTGGACAAAAATCCAGAGCTATCTACTGTTATCTCTCAACAACAAGTTAACAGTCAAGCAATATCAGATGATCTTAAGTCTCCTCACGTCAGCGCAAGAACTTACAGAGTCGAAGACCTATACAAAGGTTCTTGAGACCATTTCTGGATCATCAGGATCTAAAGATTCGTCTTCCTTCACAACTGAAGAAACACATTCGTTGGGGGGTGTCAAGTAGAATATCTGCAGAGGACCTTACTTGGAAGAGCTGGTTTGAGAGATACATCTATTCTTAGAGGTTTCACTGCAAGGTTGGGGAGCTCACTTCAACACGAAGGTGAAGGCAGGGCTATGGTCCAAAGAAGAGAAAGCTCTTCACATCAACCAGCTAGAGTTCCATATCTCACGGGGTTCAACAACTCAAGAACAAGTAGTCAGTTCCGTATCCCAGCTCTAATATCTATAGTAGGAGCAGAAGATACTGAAGGTTTATCACACTGTCAGAATGGCTTGAAGAAGAAGGCAGTTCAAGAGGTTATTCATACATCTATCACCCAACACCAAAGTGCTCAGAACAACTTTGTGATTTTGGATGAGAGCTGTAATTCTCAGAGCCTACAAAACTGGGATGGCATCCAATCTGCATGAAGAAGGAGTCATAGCATTCACACTAGTGCTTCATGGCAACAGCTCCATCACATCCATTATGGAAGCATGTTTATGGAAGTCTGATACTGTCTTTGCCAACCACTATCTCAGAGATGTTAATACACAAGATGTTGCTGGTATTTTCCAATTTGGACCTTTGGTTGTAGTGCAACAAGTGGCAGTTTGTTCGTAGAAGTCAGGTTACTGTCCTATAACAAATGACTAAAAGTCTATGCCCCCATATTTACCAAAGAAGGTGGTGCCGAGGGGTTATATGAACAGTACATGAATTCGAATTAGTGTTAGTGTTAAATGACACAGTGACAGTTTTCACACAAGACTGCCATTATAAGATATATTCATGAGAGTTGGATGGAAGCTGATTACCAGCATCTGATCTCCAACTATCGAATACCATATTTCTGCATATATCTTTTCAAATATCTTTGTTCAACAGCACACTGTGCAATGATTTTAAACATAACATATGTTTTATTTGGGATTACACTTTCTTAGTAAAGTACAGATTCTAGTACTTTTTGGGTTGAGTCCCATCCGGGATTCGAGCACACAAAGTCAGACGCCTAGACCGCTCAGCCACCGCGGCTGAGCAGTCTAGGCATCTGACTTTGTGTGCTGGCGATTAGGTGCCTGACTCTGAGGGTGTGGGTTTGAATCCTGGATGGGACTCAACCCCCAAAGTACTAGAAACTGTACTTTACTAAGAAAGTGTAATCCCAAATATAACATATGTTACATTTGACCACTTTCTAACATGGCATTGTGTATTTCATGGTTTTCAACATGTTGGGAGTATTCCCTTACTGAAAATTTCACATGCAATATATCTGTGGAGCAACATCGTTCCAAAATAATTTGTCGATACAGTTTGTATGTGTGAGTTATGAAGCAAGAGTAGTATGAAGACTGAGGTGGGGTTTTTACTTGTTGCAGCACAGGGAGGAAATGGCATGAGCGACGTAAGATGCTCACACCAACATTCCACTTCAAGATCCTCACAGATTTTGTCTTGGTGTTCAATGAGCAGGCTCAAATACTGAAGGAAAAGTTAAGGTCCAAGGTTGGAAGCAAACCATTCAACATCTTCCCAGACATCACCCTGTGTGCTCTAGACGTCATCTGTGGTGAGTAAACTATGGTCCTCCATGAGATATACGAGGGGAAGCTCCTAACTACAAATACATGTCCAATGAGTCATCATTGATTAACACAGCAATATTCCACCTAAGTGACAGTGACTGTAAGGTAATAAAGGTTTGAACCAGTGGTTGATACCATCTAATTAGCCACTTCAGATTAAGTGGTTACTCATCTGAAAGTGAGTTGATACCCAGCAGCCACCAGTTGGTTTCAGTGAACACCATACATGAGGCAAATCACCTGTAAGAGGCGACTGGCAGGATCGGGTGGTCAGGCTCGCTGACTTGATTGGCACATGTCATTGTATCCCAATTGCATGGAATGATGCTCATGATGCTGATCACTGGATTGTCTGATCCAAACTTAATTTTTTACAGACCACCACCATATAGCTGGAATATTGCTGAATGTGGTGTTAAACAACAAACCAACCAACCACAATCCCTCATATTGCTGAAAGCACATCTTCTTCCACTGTTCGCCTTGTACAGTCCATTGTGAGTAGGCTGCTGCTGCATTGTGTGTCCACAGCTACACAACTAAGTCCCTCTCATGTTAACTGTGTAATGTTTGATTCCAGAGACAGCCATGGGGAGAAACATTAATGCTCAGAGTAATAGTGACTCTGAATATGTCAATGCAGTTTACAAGTGAGTATATACTGCGTGTGCCTGGCTTGTGTGAGGCTGGCTATTCATTGAGATATAATCTGGGGTTAGAGTAAGTACTTAGTCAGGGTTGAAAGGTTCCGGTGCCAGTCCTTTATGTTCTTCTTGTACTAGCATGGGTTGTCTTTCTCAGATAAAACACAGAGTGTATATGTGTGTTAGGAATGTTCCTTTGTAATCCCAAACACAACTGATTGTTTACCTCCTCTGTTACTATGTCAGGATGAGCACAATTTTACTGAAACGCATGAGGTCTCCATGGTACTGGCCTAGTGTCCTCTTCAACGCCTTTGGTTCAGGTAGTGAACATGACAGGTGTCTCGGTATCCTGCACAGATTTACTCAGAAGGTAGGTTCCACATCATGGCCGGTATGGGACATTGATAAGAGTCACTGGTCGGTATAGGGCTTCATGAGAGTGACATAAGGGCTTGGAACATATATATACATCATAATATGCATTGTCACTGACGGGGCTTACCACTTATAAAAGGAAAGGGAGTGTAACAGCCATGGGGCGCCAAAGCACCAAATTTGTTTCAGGACAAATTCAACGATGCTCACTGTACATGTCCCTATAGAATTATACATACACGTTACAAGCCAATAGATTTACCTACAAAATGAGATAAAGATCACAAAAATAGAAGCCGTACTTATCAGGTAGGTGATGCTCATTATGAAGTATTATTGGACATTTCAGCTGAAACATTTTTTGGGGGGGGTTGTGAGCATAATGTCAATGTTTAAATGTTTATGATAACAATATTGGTCAATATGCTTTTTGTTTTGTAGAATTGTTATCAACTCGGACAGTTTCGAGTGTATCTGTGCTTTGTTATCAGGTGATCTCTGAGAAGAGGCAGGAGTTCTGTTCCAGGAAGGAGACTGGAGCAGTTGGTACAGAGGGGAAGGAAGAGGAGGTTGTGGGCAGGAAGAAGCGCTTGGCCTTCATGGACATGCTACTGCACATGTCTAATGATGGAGTCACTCTGTCTGATGATGACATCAGGGAAGAAGTCGACACTTTTATGTTTGAGGTGAGAGGGTGTCTCAGGCTTGTTTACGACACTGGTGTAGGACATTGTTAAGACATTGATGAAAGTGACAGACTGGAGTAGGACATTGTTAAGACAATGGTGACAGTGACAGACTGGTGTAGGACATTGTTAAGACATTGGTGACAGTGAAAGACTGGTGTAGGACATTGTTAAGACATTGGTGACAGTGACAGACTGGAGTAGGACATTGTTAAGACGTTGGTGACAGTGACAGACTGGAGTAGGACATTGTTAAGATATTTATGACAGTGACAGACTGGTGTAGGACATTGTTAAGACATTGGTGACAGTGACAGACTGGTGTAGGACATTGTTAAGACATTGATGACAGTGACAGACTGGAGTAGGACATTGTTAAGACATTGGTGACAGTGACAGACTGGTGTAGGACATTGTTAAAACATTGGTGACCGTGACAGACTTGTGTATGACATTGTTAAAACATTGATGACAGTGACAGACTGGTGTAGGACATTGTTAAGACATTGATGACAGTGACAAACTGGTGTAGGACTTTGTTAAGACATTGATGAAAGTGACAGTCTGGTGTAGGACATTGTTAAGACATTGATGACAGTGACAGACTGGTGTAGGACATTGTTAAGACATTGGTGACAGTGACAGACTGGTGTAGGACATTGTTAAGACGTTGGTGACAGTGACAGACTGGTGTAGGACATTGGTGACAGTGACAGACTGGTGTTGGACATTGTTATGACATTGGTAACAGACTGGAGTAGGACATTGTTAAGACATTGGTGACAGTGACAGACTGGTGTAGAACATTGATGACAGTGACAGACTGGAGGAGGACATTGTTAAGACATTGGTGACAGTGACAGACTGGTATAAGACATTGTTAAGACATTGGTGACATTGACAGACTGGTGTAGGACATTGTTAAGACATTGGTGACAGACTGGTGTAGGACATTGTTAAGACATTGGTGACAGACTGGTGTAGGACATTGTTAAGGCATTGGTGACAGTGACAGACTGGTGTAGGACATTGTTACAGACTGGCATTGGTGACAGTGACAGACTGACAGACTGTTAAATGCCAGTGACAGGTAGGGCGATAATACCTGTTAACCGGTATATCGCAATTTGAACTTTGCAATATGATATATTGTGGTACACTTTTTGCGATCCGGTTCACCCGATACGATTGGCAATTTCTGTGACCATGATCGGTACTTTTCGTGATGTAGTTAAAAATACTAATAAGATTTGTATTTCTTTTATTTTTTCTTATCCTGACTCATGATCTTTTGCTTATCTCCCTTTTCCTTGCGAATGGTAGTGGAACACTTGAATCCCTTGAAGTTCCCAAAGCGGACGTAAAAATACACTCACCCATGAGTTACCTCCCTTTTCCCGCGTAAACAGTCATGTGACCAGCCTTATTTGCCACTCTCTCCCTTTTCGCCCAAGTCGATGGTTAGGCGAGCACTGGAGTCCTGTATACGGCATTATATCCTATTTTTCCTTATCCTGACTCATGCTCTTTTGCTTGTCTTCTTCTTCTTGCGAACATAGTGGAACACTTGTATCTCCTTAATTAAAGCTCCCTTCAATGTAAAATCACTAATTAGTACTCACCAAGAGTTGCCTCCCTTTGCCTCTGCGCGGGAAAAGGTGGCGCCACCCTCTGGCCTCATGCTTCACTCTCTCCTTCTTCGCCCAGTGAGCAGGATGTGAGAGCGCCTGTGTCTCCTTACACACTATATCCTTAGGTTATTCTTACTTAGTTACCTCCTATAGGTTACTATAGAGGTATAGGTAGTATCCTTCATTAATATGTATTGATAATTAATCGTATTTCTACTGTTTATTCACGTGAGTTCGTGATTGTTCAGATAGTTTTACGTTGATGAAAATCTGTACTATTTGTAGATTACGTTTTTCTGCTGCTGACCCGCATGTAATATGCCCTAGTTGTTCTACGCCTTGTGCGTTTGATTCACGTTGCAGTTACTGCATTAATCTATCTAATTCTGCTTTTGATAAATATCATCTTTGCGTCTTGAGACGTGCAGCAGATAGGTCACGCAAACAAGGGTTAGACAATGCCGATACATCAGAACCCCTAGCCAGTCAGCTGCTGTTGGTCGACCCCCTCCCGTCTGGTGTTCCGCTAGAGTTTCCCTCGGAGGAGGGGCGTGGGATGCAGTCCGCCGCCTCCAAGAAGCGTCCTGCCTCCCCAGACATCCCGTCATCGCAGCCAAAGTCTAAGAGGGCCTCGACATCTACTCAACGCAGACTCCGTACCCCCAGGGCAGCGTCTACCTCCAAGGGGAAGTCTACGAAGTCGTCAAGAACTTTCTCGGCCGAGATCGTTCCAGCCGCCGAACTGGGCCTCTACGATGATCAGCCGATCATCATCCCCGACCTACGCCACAAGAAACGACCGGTGACAGCTACAGTGACGTCAGCAGAGATCGCCATGCAGCCTGATGTGTCTACACCGATGTCGGACGATCTCCCTGAGGGCTCCGCCGCTAACATCGCAGAGAGGGCACCGACTACATCGTCGCAGACCGTCCCAGATAAACTGATGTGGAAAATCATGATCATGATGGAGGACCACTACAGACTGGAGAAACAACCAGCCCAGGGCCTGAGCCTTCGCGAAGGCTCCAATGCAGACGACACCCCAGAGGGACCCCCTGTCAACGTAGCAGCCACGACGAAGCCACCTTCGCGAAGGAAGTCACAGACCACCTCGACGAAGGACCCAGATGTACAGCCTTCGCGAAGGCGGGATAGATCATCACCTTCCTCGGCTTCATCCTTAGATGCGGACTCAGACCACCGGACTTCACATCAACCTCTCATCAGCGATCCCGGGGTAGAAGATGATGGAGGCATCATTTTCTCAGACGCTGAGATACGATATTGGATGGTAAACAACCTAGACCTTTCTTCACCTTCCAAGAGTGGTAACTCGGCGCTTACTTACCTGATGAAGGAGGACGATGCAGACGCCGTCACCTTACCTCCGATCGACCCGATTGCTGCGGTACCACAGAATCTAGATACAGCCTTCCATAAAGCCACGAAAGTTCAGACGCCACACCTACCTAACTTTCACGCTAAGAAGTTTTCAACTCATAACATGGACCCCTTCCTCAAGGCACAAGACATCGATGACAACTACAAGCTGATCAGCGATGTCAAGAATAAGAACTACAAGATTGACGATCGCAAGCTGGTGCAGATAGAAACCATGACAAGACGCATGTTCTTTGGCCTTAATAGATCTAGAACGATCAATGAGACTCTTATCACCAGATTTCGTGACACGACTTCTGAAGATGATAGGATGATCTACTCGGCCCTACTTATGCAAAAGAAGGACCAGCAGTTCCTAACAGATCATCTCACATCAGTCTCAGCAGCGCTAACCTTAGCTCGTCGTCAAGGCCTCCTCGCTTCCTGCAGCTGGGGTGAGCAGTTTACAGCTCCACTCTATACAGCCCCGTGGTCCTCTCCATCCATCTTTGACGGAGGAATAGAGAAAGTCTCCAAGGAAGTCACTAAGGATTCCAGAGAAGTCCTTATGATTAAGTCGATGGACACGCTAGCCAGCGTCATCAGGCAGACTTCACAAAGATATTCAGGGAGATCTAAATTCACTGGATTACAGAGAGCACGGGATAGGAAGATGGCCAGCTCCAGGGGAAAAGATTCTTTTCGTCGCCCATATGGCAACTATAGAGGAGGATCAGGAAGAGGCAGGGCACCCAGAGGTTCCCGCAACTATAAACGTTGAAAGACAGGTTCGGAACGACTGGAGTCTTCCACCCCCAGCCGTTCCAGTACAACCGTCACAAGTGGGTGGACGCCTTCAACTACACTGGGAGAACTGGGGAATGTTACAAGACCCTTATGTCTCCAACATTCTTCAACACGGATATTGTATCCCACTACAGGCCACGCCTCCGCTGACAGTCAACCCTCACAAGTTCGACTTCCAGGCACAACAACTACCAAAGTTAAGAGAGGCTGTTACATCGCTCTTAACCAAACAGGCCATAGAAGTACTAGATCAAGTAAACGTCGAACCAGGCTTCTACTCCCCAGTTTTCCTAGTACCCAAGAAAAACTCCAAGGAGAAATACGGACTCATTTACAACATGAGCATATTCAACAGACATTATCTACACAACCGCCAAAGTTTCGCATGATACATCTACCTCTGTTACGGCAGTTGATTCGTCCCATGGATTACATGGCCAGTATAGATCTGCAAGACGCATATCTACACGTCCCAATACATCCCGAATCCAGGAAATACCTACGATTTACACTAGACGGGCTGCATTACCAATGGAAAGTACTCCCATTCGGAATATCATCAGCCCCCTGGCTATTCACGAGGATAACGAAACCTATCGTCACCTATCTACTTCGTCTAGGGCTACGCAGTGCGTTCTACCTCGACGACGGGATACAAGTAGATCAAGATCCACAGCGTCTCAAACTACAGTTAAACTACATCATAAAGCTACTAACACAGCTAGGATGGTTAGTAAACTTACTCAAGTCGGACCTAGTACCATCGCAAGATCTGCAATTTCTAGGCATTCGATTTATCACGACTCTCAACCGTATCGTCGTGCCAGAAGACCGATGGCTCAAGATCCAACAGACCATTCCTCTAGCCCTACTCTCTCCCGTTACCACTACGACATTGGCAGAGCCTGTTGGCTCTCCTCACGTCAGCCCAAGACATGACAGTCAGAGGCAGAATACAGTTACGTCTGTTACAGGTCTTCATCAATGCACATCTCAACGACCTACAACCATTCAGTCTACCGAAACATCTCAGACCTCATCTACTATGGTGGACCAGGAGGTCGAATGTCTGCGAAGGTATTTGTTTAACAGAGCAGGAATTCAAAACCCATCTATATGTAGACGCGTCGCTCCAGGGTTGGGGAGCTTATCTCGCCAACCGGACGGCTTCAGGGTTAT